TTTGGGGTGCCCGTGCCCCCCCCCGCGCTGTTTTTGGGGTCCCACCTGGGCGTTTTGGGAGATTTTCCGCGTTTTCTTCTTCTCGGCGCGCTCGTCCTCGCCCTCGCGCGCCTTCTCCACCGTCCACTCCCAGGCCAGCATGGCCTTCAGGGACTCCTTGATGGGCCACCGGTAAATCTCCTTGTCCTGGGGGGGTCCCCAAAATCGGGGGGGTCAGGGGGCACCCCAAAATCGGGGGGTTTGGGGAGGGGGTCCTTGAGGAGGAGGAGGGAAGGGGTTAGGGGCTCCCAGCGTGGCCTTGGTGGCCACAAGGAGATCTTCTGGTCCTGGGGGGGTCTGAGGGTGTCCCCCTGGATTTGGGGGTGCCCCCCAGGTCTGGGGGTATCTCCCTGGGTTTGGGGGTGTCCCCTGGCTCTGGGGGTTTCCCCCTGGGTCTGGGGGTGTCCCCCTGGGTTTGGGTCTGTCCCCGTGGGTCTGGGGGCATCTCCCTGGACTTGGGGGTGTCCCCCTGGCTCTGGAGGTGTCCCCGTGGGTTTGGGGGTGTCCCCGTGGGTTTGGGGGTGTCCCCCTGGGTTTGGGGGGGTCCCGTGGTACCTTCTCAGAAAAGGTTTTGTAGGGTCTCAGCATCGGGTGGGTTTTGGCTTCTTCATCCACGGTCTCCCCAAAAGTCCAGTTGTTCTGGATCTGGGGTGGGGGGCACACAAGTCAGGGGGGCTTGGGGACCTCGGGCTGGGGGGGACAGAGGAGATTTGGGGGGGCAGAGGAGATTTGGGGGGGAACATTGGGGTCAGGGGGGACACCGGGGTCAGGGGGGACATGAGGATGAGGATGGATTGGGGAGGGGTCTCCATGAGGATGAGGATGGTCAAAGTTAAAGGTTTCTGGATGTGGAGGGATGGGGTTGGGGGGTCTCCATGAGGATCTGGATGGGGTTGGGTGGGGTTGGGGGTCTCCACAAGCACAGAGGGGTTGGGGGCTCTCCATGAGGACAGAGGGGGTTGGGGGTCTCCATGAGGATCTGGATGGGGTTGGGTGGGGTTGGGGGTCTCCACAAGCACAGAAGGGTTGGGGCCTCTCCATGAGGACAGAGGGGGTTGGGGGTCTCCATGAGGATCTGGATGGGGTTGGGGGTCTCCATGAAGATCTGGATGGGGTTGGGGTCTCCACGAGCACAGAGGGCGTGGGGGTCTCCATGAGGATCTGGATGGGGTTGGGTGGGGTTGGGGGTCTCCACGAGCACAGAGGGGTTGGGGGGCTCATGCTGGCACGGGGAGGGGTCTGTGGGAGCCCTACTTGAGGGTCTCCACGGGTTTGGGGTCGAAGTTGCCCTCGGCGTCCACCGAGGCCTTCTTCTCGGTGCGGGACGAGTAGCTGGCGTCCACGTAGTCGGGCGGGAGCGCGCCGGCGATGGCGCAGAGGCACGGCATGGCCAGCTTGTAGAGCTCGGCCTCGAACTTCTGCGGGGACGGGGGACACGGGGACACCGGTGTCACCAGTGCCACCACAGCCACCAGCCCCGGTTCCCCCAGTGTCACCAGCCTTGTGGCACCAGTGTCACCAGTGCCACCAGCCCCGTGTTCCCCCAGTGTCATCATTCCTGTGCCACCAGTGTCACCAGTGCCACCAGCCCCGGTTCCCCCAGTGTCACCAGCCTTGTGGCACCAGTGTCACCACAGCCACAGCCACCAGCCCCGTGTTCTCCCAGTGTCACCAGCCTTGTGCCACCATAGCCACCAGCCCCGGTTCCCCCAGTGTCATCATTCCTGTGGCACCAGTGCCACCAGCCCTGTGACACCAGTGCCACCACAGCCACCAGCCCCGCAGTGCCACCATCCCCATGTCCATGATCCCAATGTCACCATCCCCATGTCTCCAGTGCCACCATCCGCACGTCCTCAGTGTCACCATCCCCATCCCCATGCTCCCAGTGCCACCATCCCCACGTCCTCAGTGTCACCATCCCCATGTCCATGTTTCCAGTGTCACCATCCCCATGCCCCCAGTGCCACCATCCCCATGTCCATGTTTCCAGTACCACCACCCCCAAGTTCCCACCATCTCCATTCCCATGTCCCCATCACCCCCAGCTCCATGTCCCAATGTCCCCACTGTCCCCACATCCTCATCTCCCCCCACCCCAACCTCTCCACATCCCCCTCACCCCCATTCCCACGTTCCCACCACCACCACACCCAGGTGTGTCCCCCCAGGTGTGTCCCCCCCAGGTGTGTCACCCCCCGTGACCCCACCTTGTGCGCCAGGGAGTCGAAGATGCCCCAGAAGAGCTTCCTGGTGAGGTGCAGCTCCTCCTCGGAGCTGACGCCCATGTTGGGCCACCCGCTGGGCAGGCAGTAGTACCTCCAGCAGCGCTCGTAGTGGTTGGTCAGCAGCTGGGGGGACACGGGGGGTCACTCTGGGGGGGTCAGGGCATGGGGACAAGCGCAGGGACCCCCCCAGGACTCACCTTGAGGGGCATCTTGGCGAACTCGTTGAGGATGGGGACGTCGAAGACGAGGCGGCGCAGGAGGTGCTGCAGCATCGAGGGGCGGATGTACCTGGGGGGAATGGGGGGTCAGGGGGGTCTGGGGGTTTGGGGTTCACCTGAGACCACCGTGAGACACTCGGTGGGGTCACGCTGGGACTCAGGGAGGGACACGGTGATTGGTTGGTCATGGGATTGGGTTGACCGTGGCAGTTGAGTTGACCAAGAGGGTTGGGTTGACCATGAGGGTTGGGTTGGCCATGAGAGCTGGGTTGGCCATGGCAGTTGAGTTGGCCATGGTGGTTGGGTTGGTCATGGTAGTTGAGTTGACCACGGGGGTCAGGCTGACCATGGGAGTTGAGCTGACCATGGTGGTTGAGTTGACCATTGTAGTTGGGGTGGCCATGAGAGTTGGGTTGGCCATGGCAGTTGAGTTGATCATGGTGGTTGAGTTGACCATGGCAGTTGGGTTGGCCATGGCAGTTGGGTTACCCATGAGAGTTGGGTTGACCATGGGGGTTGGGTGCACCATGGTAGTTGAGTTGGCCATGGCAGTTGAGTTGACCATGGCGTTCAAGTTGACCATGGCAGTTGGGTTCCCCATGAGAGTTGTGTTGACCATGGGGGTTGGGTGCTCCATGGTAGTTGCGTTGGCCATGGCAGTTGAGTTGACCATGAAAGTTGGGTTGCCCATGGCAATTGGGTTGGCCATGACGGTTGAGTTGACCATGAAAGTTGGGTTCCCCATGAGAGTTGGGTTGGTCATGGTGGTTGGGTGCACCATGGTGGTTGAGTTGGCCATGGCGGTTGAGTTGACCATGAAAGTTGGGTTGACCATGGCAATTGGGTTGGCCATGACGGTTGAGTTGACCATGAAAGTTGGGTTTCCCATGAGAGTTGGGTTGGTCATGGTGGTTGGGTGCACCATGGTGGTTGAGTTGGCCATGGCGGTTGAGTTGACCATGAAAGTTGGGTTGACCATGGCAGTTGGGTTGGCCATGACGGTTGAGTTGACCATGAAAGTTGGGTTCCCCATGAGAGTTGGGTTGGCCATGAGAGTTGGGTTGGCCATGGCAGTTGAGTTGACCATGGCAGTTGGGTTCCCCATGAGAGTTGGGCTGATTTTGAGGACAGATACAGACCCATGGGGGGGGGCACGGTGCCATTTTGGGGCCCGATTCGGGGTCCCACCTGCAGAGGGCCATGAGGCACTCCTCGATGGCGTCGCGCTGGGCCTTGGTGAGGGCGCGGCCGCGCGACAGGCGGTAGATGGTGTGCAGCATGGAGTCCACCATGATGGCGCGGTGCTCGGTGCCCGCGAAGAGCGGCGCGCACTTGGTGATGAGCGGCATCACCGCCAGGCACAGGTACCGGTTCAGCGCCAGCGCCATCTCCGTCGTGCTGAACGTCGCCTGGGGGGGACACGGGGGGGGTCACAGGGGGTGACACACCCTGAGGGGACGTGGGGACAGGGGACAGAGGTGTCCCATGGGGAGAGTTTGGGGATCTGTCCATGGGGGAGATTTGGGGGGTCAGATAGGGAAGATTGGGGTGACCCCAAATCCATCCCATGGGGGAGATTTGGGGGGTCAGATAGGGAAGATTGGGGTGACCCCAAATCCATCCCATGGGGGAGATTTGGGGGATCCCAGACCCATCCCATGGGGGAGATTTCGGGGGTCAAATAGGGAAGATTGGGGTGGCCCCAAATCCATCCCATGGGGGAGATTTGGGGGGTCAGATAGGGAACATTGGGGTGACCCCAAATCCATCCCATGGGGGAGATTTGGGGGGTCAGATAGGGAACATTGGGGTGACCCCAAATCCATCTCATAGAGAAGATTTGGGGGGTCAAACAGGGAAGACTGGGGAGACCCCAAATCCATCTCATAGCTGAGATTTGGGGGGTCAAATGGAATATTTGGGGTGACCCCACACCCATCCCATAGTGAACATTTGGGGGACCCCACACCCACCCCACAGCAGGGAACAGGGCTGACCCAAGGGCCCTGCTGCAGGTCCAAGGGATTCCTGTAGGGAATTTTGGGGAGCCCCGGGGCGGTTTTGGGGTGCCCCTCACCGTGTCCAGCGAGGCGGCCGCGCGCATGTCGGGCAGGAACCCCACTTCCAGCACGTGGAGCAGGAACTCCTGGTTCTGCACCCCATAAACGCGGTCCAGGAACAGCACCATGGGCGCCTTGTGCTCGGGGACGAAGCTGGCGGCCATACGGGGCTCCACCACGTTCCCATCTGCGGGACCCCAAAACTCAGGGCACCCCAAAACTCCCCAAACAGCCCCAAACCCTAAAACAGCTGGAAATCCCCCCAAATCCTGGCGTCCCCAGAGCCCCCCAGCCCAGCTGGTGGCCATGGGGGGCTCCACCACGTTCCCAATTGCGGGACCCCAAAACTCAGGGCACCCCAAAACTCCCCAAATAGCCCTCAAGGCTGATAACCTCCACCCCAGTCCCCACATTTTGGGGTGTCCCCCATCCCAGTCCCCACATTTTGGGGTGCCCCCCATCCCAGTGACCCTCCCCAGGTTTGGGGACCCCTCCCCACCTTTTCCCAGCGCCGGGATCTGCAGGGGGAGGCTGATGATCCCCACTTTTTGGGGTGTCCCCCATCCCAGCCCCCACATTTTGGGGTGACCCTCCCCAGGTTTGGGGACCCCTCCCCACCTTTTCCCAGCGCCGGGATCTGCAGGGGGAGGCTGATGATCCCCACCAGGTCCTCGAGCGGGACGAGCGAGCGCAGGATGGCCCGGATCCGCAGGGCCTCCCCCTTCCCCGCCTGGATCAGCTGTGGGGGTCACACGGGGGGGGTCACACCCCGAGTTCTGACCCCCCCCCCAGGACCCCCCTGAGCCCCCCAAACCCGCCGGGTCCGTACGTGCATCTCGGGGGCGCAGCGGCCCAGCAGGTCGATGAGGGCGGCGTAGAAGGACATGATGGCGTGGCCCAGGTGCACGCGGTTCTCCTCGGGGGGCTCCTCGGGCCCGAACCTGGGGGGAACAGGGGGTCAGGGGGTCACCCTGGGGTCCCCCCAGGCTATCCCTGTATTGCCATCTTCACCCCAACCCATTCCAGCCCATCCTCATCCCCCTTCTGTTCACGGCTTGATGCCCGCTCCGTCCTGTCTTCATCCTCGCGTCGCTTCTCATCACGGACATCTCATCCTCATCCTCATCCTCATCCTCATCCTCATCCTCACCCCAATCCCATTCCAAATCCCATTCCCATTCCAAATCCCATTTCCAATCCCACCCAATCCCATTTCCATTTCCATTCCCAATCCCATTCCCATTCCCATTCCCATTCCCAATCCCATTCCAATCCCACCCAATCCCAATCCCATTCCCATCCCATTCCAATCCCATTCCCATCCCGCTCCCGGTGCTCACGGCCTCCTCTCCCTGCGGCCGCTGGGCCCATGCCTGGTGGGGTCCCCATCCCAATCCCAATCCCAATCCCAATCCCATTCCCATTCCCAATCCCATTCCCAATCCCAATCCAATCCCATTCCAATCCAAATCCCCATCCCATTCCATTCTAATCCCACCCAATCCCATTCCCATTCCCATCCTGCTCCCGGTGCTCACGGCCTCCTCTCCCTGCGGCCGCTGGGCCCGTCCTGCGCAGGGTCTCCATTCCAATCCCATTCCATTCCCAATCCCAATCCCATTCCAATCCCAATCCCAATCCCACACAATCCCAATCCCATTCCAAATCCCATTCCCATTCCCATTCCCATTCCAGTCCCACCCAACCCCAATCCCACTCCCAACCCCAGTGCTCACGGCCTCCTCTCCCTGCGGCCACTGGGCCCATGCGTGGTGGGGTCCCCATTCCAATCCCAATCCCAATCCCATTCCAATCCCAATCCCAATCCCATTCCCAATCCAATCCCATTCCAATCCAAATCCCCATCCCATTCCATTCTAATCCCACCCAATCCCATTCCCATTCCCATCCCGCTCCCGGTGCTCACGGCCTCCTCTCCCTGCGGCCGCTGGGCCCGTCCCGCGCGGGGTCTCCATTCCAATCCCATTCCCATTCCCATTCCCATTCCCATTCCCATTCCCATTCCCATTCCCATTCCCATTCCCATTCCCATTCCCATTCCAATCCCATTCCCGCTCCCGGTGCTCACGGCCTCCTCTCCCTGCGGCCGCTGGGCCCGTCCCGCGCGGGGTCCTGGGCGATGCTCAGGGCGTCCTGGATGGCGGCCAGCAGCCCGCTGCCCCCCTCGCCCCGCAGCGCCGGCCCGAAGCACTCGGGGCGCCGGATCAGCAGCCGCACCACCACGTTGGCGTTCTCCTCCACGCTCTCTCCTGGGGAACCCCACCCCAGAGGTCATAGGGACACCCCAGAATTCCCAAAACACAAACCCAAAAACCCCTAAAACCCCTAAAATAGAGAGTCCCCGATCAGCAGCCGCACCACCACGTTGGCGTTCTCCTCCACGCTCTCCCCTGGGGAACCCCACCCCAAAGGTCACCGGGACACCCCAGAATTCCCAAAACACAAACCTGAAAAACCCCCAAAACAGGGAACCTTAAAACCCCTAAAACAGGGAACCCCAAAACCCCCTAAAACAGGGAACCCTAAAACCCCTAAAACAGAGAACCCCAAAACAGGGAACCCTAAAACCCCCAAAACAGGGAACCCCAAAACCTCTAAAACAGAGAACCCCAAAAGCCCCTAAAACAGGGAACCCTAAAAACCCCTAAAACCGGGAACCCCAAAACCCCCAAAACAGGGAACCCTAAAACCCCTAAAACAGAGAACCCCAAAACAGGGAACCCTAAAACCCCCAAAACAGGGAACCCCAAAACCCCCTAAAACAGGGAACCCTAAAACCCCTAAAACAGGGAACCCCAAAACACCCAAAACAGAGAACCCCAAAACCCCCAAAACAGGGAACCCCAAAACCCCCAAAACAGGGAACCCCAAAGCCCCCAAAACAGGGAGTCCCTGAGAACCCAACTGGGAGCCTCCAAGTGGGTCCTCCTCGCTCTCCCCTGTGGGAACGGGACCCCAAAACTCACAGGGACCCCTAAAAGGGACGACCCGAAACGCAAACCCACAGAAGGGGACATGGGGACACCTGGGGACACCTGGGGCCACCTGGGGACACCTGAGGGACACCTGAGGGACACCTGGGGGACACCTGGGGACACCTGGGGACACCTGGGGTGTCTGGGGACACCTGGGGACACCTGAGGGACACCTGGGGCCACCTGGGGTGTCTGGGGACACCTGAGGGACACCTGAGGGCCACCTGGGGTGTCTCACCGTTGACGAAGACGGCGAAGCGCAGGAAGTCCAGGTACTTCTCACCCCCGCAGGGGTTCCAGCCGATGTCGGGGTAACCCTTGGCCAGCAGCATGGGGCAGCTCTGCAGGCC